TTAATTCTATCCAGAACTTGCGTGATACAGGAGTTGTTTTAATCTCAGAAGTTTCCTCTGATCTTTTATCATGGAGCAAAGTGCGCTGTTAGCCTTCTAAGCCTCTGTTATGTAAATTATACGCCTGAGTAGTCAACACGCGAAACTTATATTAGTAGACGCAACTCGCAAGCCATTCTTGCAGTGGTTGCACTAGTTTTTTAAAGCTGGTGATAACTGTGCGAGTAGGATGTTTAATCGGATGAGCGACCTTGACTATTGCCCATGACGACGGGACAATGACAAGATCTTTGCATTCCAAATGTTTAACGATGAGGTGACTGACGTTCCAATGACGACAGAGATGGTGTCGATGTTTACGTTGGTAGGATATAGGCAATGTTACGTCGGCTGAGCGGCGGTCTCATCGCTCTCTCTCCCTCTTGTGTGTAGATCGTGCTCTTACCCTGCGCATGTGTCCTCGCCTACCAACGCTCGCGTGCTGCAGTATAATCGCTAAGCACTACATCTGCTACCGAGCAACACTTTGTTCTCTTGACAAACCGTGCCCAGGTTGCTCGGTGATTTCTCGCTGCGATGTTGACTTTTCATGGTCTATGCTTGGAGAATCGTTCCTGACAGTGCAAGAATGAGTTACTCCAATGGGTCTAATCGTCTGCTAACAACCGAATACAAGGGATACCTCGTCATACTTAACAAACAAGACACCCAGCATTGTCGGCAACGTCAATTGGCCACCAATTCACAACCCAATTGATTTGAACAAAGTACACCCCTATAAATTTATAAGCCACCCAAGTGACCACGCTACGCTCTATCACCGTGTGGCACGCTTACAGCGGCATATAGACCTGGGCGGGCTAGATCCTCTGCGGTACACCCTCGCACGAGAATCAAACAAACAATTTGGAACTTCAATCACGAAAAAGACTATCCTCTTTCAACTTCTCGTCCGGATGTCTCGGGTGAATGTAGAATTGTGAGTCAGATCCGCTGAGGTGGTACTCCTAGGGAGAAGGGAGAAGGCGAAAAGCGTGTTCATTTGCTGAGTTTTGCTGTGAAGACCCACTGAGGAGTCTTCTCGTCTCCGTGATTTCCGGGGAGCAGCAGGGCCATCGCCGGTGAATGGGTTGACTGGAACCTAGTACCAAACACCTACTCGCATCACACAAGCAAACCAATGGCGCCCTCCTGAGTCGTTCCTCCAAGCCTGCCCAAAACTCTGAATTTTGGAGCAATGCCAAACCTTCAGAGGCAATTTATGAATGTCAAAATACTATATTGCTAAGCAGGTGCTATCTATCATGTCGATAATTACCCCGAACGCCCATAATATAAATAAATATACGCGCCTGTGTCTTGCATCCGACGGAGCAACATATAGACGCCGCGACCACCTCCGCTTCCGTTGCCACAGTCGCTCTTCACTCTGAGGGTAGCGGGAAAGTTAGAGCTACGTGTCGGACAGAGCTGAAGCAGGTCGAGTCCTATGAACCCTGCACGGAGGTCGTTGGTGACAGCCAAGAGTCTCCTGTGCCGGACGGAGAGCGGCTGCCCCGGCGGTCGCCACGAACAGACTGGGACCCACATGCCTCGGAGTCGTGGTCCGAAGCGCCTGGAGCAGCATCAGTGTCATGACGTATCCAAATTACCTGTCTCTCATCCAGCACGCTGCTGCCGGGCCGAGAAAGCTCATGAACTTAGCACTCGACGACGAGTCATAATGTGAAGTGTTAGGTAGTAGCACCACACTACCCGCATGCCGCAACTCCGCCACCGCCCACGCAGATGAGTAGTGCATAGACCCTACATCGCATGCAGTCGTAGCCCGCACCCCGCCCCAACATGAGGCGTTAGTATTAGTAATAAATTTGATCCCCTACTTCTAACCTAAATAGCTGCCGCCACACCTTTAATGCCTGAACAATTAATTATTACAGCTCCTGTGACCAGACCGAGAGGTAAACGATAGAACTAACATGGCGCATAGCTCATGACCGAACACTACGGCGCTCGCCGCAACATGAGAGTAGTAGGACCCTAACGCCTTCTTTTTGCAGCGTTACCCCTGGGCCCCTACACTATCTGTAGTCGTCTAGGACTTGTACTCAGGCGCCGCTGCAGCGGTAGCCCGCGCCCGCTCAGCTCGTCCCGCGCTCTGCTCTCACTTGCCTAGTCGTTAGACCTACGCCATCCCTGTCGCCACTCCTCTCATGCACCTATCTAGAAACCTACACCGGCACGCGCGTACCTCTCAGCAACTCGCCATACATGTTACTGCAGTAGGAATCCTAATCTCATGTACTCGCTTGACCCCTCGCCACCTGCCACGCATCACCATGGTCGTGCTACGCACTCGTCGCCAACACATGTAGTAGTCAGAACCTACATCCCATGCAGCGTACTCGCCTACTCGCTCCTCTCTACTGACTCTAGTAGTACTACACCGCATGCTCGTCTCTCCCCCGCGCCACACAGAGTAGTGACCTACGCATTGTCCCACATGAGTAGTAGAGACCTACACGCAGCAGCTTTACCGCGCCCACACTACACTGATGTAGTAGACCCTACACCGCACGCAGCGTTACCACGCCGCCTCCTCGGAGGTCGCTAGCACCCTCTGCGCGCTGTCTGCCCACATGTGCAGCTAGGTCAGAACCTACGCCGAAATGCAGCTACCACTGCGCCACTACCGTGTATACACTCCCTCACCGTGCTGGCCATGGTGCCTGCCTCGTCGTACCCCGCACAGTCGTACCTCGATGATCGAAGGTCAGCGTTGTAGGTGTAGCGTTGGCACACAGGGTACGTCACTCATGGTCGGGGGTCACGATAGCCGCGGTTTGTTCTTGTTCTCGCTGTAGCTTATGGCTGCAGACCCTCGCGCGCCATTTACTGCGTATGATTTCGCCTGATGCTGCAGCCGCGGTGTTGACGTACAGGGTACGGCAAGCATGATCCGTCTGTGATCTCGTTGAAGAGGACTTGGTTATATTGGCTACATCGTAGTGCTGCTACACCCTTCGCAGCATTACCGCGATGATCGTAGCTCGACGTTGCAGCCGCGGCGTTGGCTAACAGGGTATTCACGATGGCTGAGCGTGCTTTGCTGTGTTGCTGTTGCAGTTTACTCGGTGATGTGGTGTCTGCTGGAGATTGTAGCCGTGGCTGCCGATCTACTCGCACCAAAGTTTGTGGACAGTCTCAAAGCTGAGCAGGTAGAGGTAGTTGTGTGCGTGTGTTGTGCGTTGTCGCTGCGTCCCCCGGCGTCTCCGCTCATGCTCGGTGTGCGTGTGTGTGGTGCATGCCGTGCGTGCGTCGGTCGCATTCGCGTGCGTGTGTGGTGCGTATGCTGTGCTGGCGTGTGTGCATGACTGGTGTCCTGTGTGTGTCTGCGCGTTCGTGTCGTGGTGCATGGCATTGGTGCGTGTGTGCCATTGCGATGCAATGTGTCGGTAACTTCCTGCTGCGCTATATTTGTGTCAGCCCCCTCCATACAGTAAGTTCCTTCTATACCAGCCCACTGCCTCCCTCTCCTATACTCTCATCCTCAGCTACTTCATGTATGGACTAAGACCTGGACTGAGATCAGAATGTGCGGAGGCTGCTACGAATCCGTCCACTCTGTTCTGTTCTTCCTCCTGGCAACGGCTTCATGTGCGACATTCACCGCAAGTCGTGCAGAGGTAAACCGAAACACGTCAACGGACAAGGTAGGCTGTCTGCCCATAGTAAGCAGATAAGCTGTAAGGATGATAACTAACTAATTAATTACAGGTGGGCTGCTCTCCCACTGGTAGATGATTACTGTAAAGTATAACTAACTAATTAATTAACCGCAGGTTGGGGCTGTCCCCCATGGTAGTAATACCTGTCAAGATACTGTAAGATATAACTAACTAATTAATTAACAAGGTAGGGGCTGTGGCTGTCTCCCCATGGTAGCAGATACCTGTAAGATATAACTAACTAATTAATTAACAAGGTAGGGGCTGTCTCCCCATGGTAGTAGATACCTGTAATATACAACTAACTAATTAATTAACAAGGTAGGGGCTCTGTCCTCATCGTAGCAGATACCGGTAATATACAACTAACTAATTGATTAACAAGGTAGGGCCTGTCTCTCCATCATAGCAAATACCTGTAATATACAACCAACTAAGTAATTAACAAAGTAGGAGCCATTGCCCCATCAGCAGTTACCTGTAACATACAAATAATTAATTAACAAGGTAGGCACCGTCTCCACGTTGTAACAGGTATCTGTAATATATCACACACCATACACTGCATCAGGCCTCACACAGATGCATTAACCACACGTGTCGTGCATCAAACACATATCACGCATCATACTCGTTACGTGTCGCTTGTTACATGTTGTTCGTTACGTGTCGTGCATTACGTGTTGTTCGTTACGTGTCGTTGACAGACACAGGAGGTTCAGCACGGAGCGATGCTAGCATTGAGCTTCACGTTATCGCGGAGGCTGCGGAACAGTACCGAAGAGCAGCAGCAGTCGCCTCCTAATTATGCCAGCACTGCCGTGAGAGCTGTAGGTGAGTGTTGCCTCACTATACTATACTTCTATATCTACTGCTCTCACTCTACATATACAGCTCTCAGTCGCAACATATACAGCTCAGTACTGGAATTGTCAGTGTCACGTCACTCAGCAGTTTTTTGTACTCGCAAAGGCTTTTTAAATCTGTGCAGAAATCATCGCCATGAAGGGGGGTTAGAATACCTTAGAGATATTCCCTCTTTGCTCTTCCGTGTTTCCACTTCCATCAGCATCTGTAATTTCTCTTCTGCCTATTTGCTTCGATTAGCATCTGTAACCGCTCTTCCATCAATTACCTTTGATCAGCATGTGTAACTTGTCATCTGTGTTTTCACTTAAGTTCATCCATTTCGATCAGTATCTATAACCGCTCTTCCCTCTATCTGCTTTGATCAGCGTCAGTAATCACCCGCCATCATCATGCTTGCTTGCTTGCAGCGGCGTTTCTCAGCAGCACTAACGCAGTGCTGAGCGTGGGAGCCTGCTCCGCTATCGGGGAGATCGCTCGCAACATGCCGCTGCCGCTGCCCAGCGGTGAGCTAGAGACAGAGAGCAAGGAGATGACAAAGGCCTGCATTGTCAACACGCTGCTCAAGAAAATGTCCAGCTCTCAGGAACCCAACAGCGTACGTGAAACGCCGCTCTCTGTACCCGCCCTACACACGCATCGTTCCCGCCCGATTGTCTGTTTGCTGATTAGACACGGATGTGGTTTCTATAGTGTGTTTTACTAATGTAGTGCCTTGCTCATTTGCCAGTTTCTGGATGGATACTTTAGCTGTCTTTCACTTATTGTAGTATTTCCCTCTGCGCACTAAGTGGTGAGCAAAAATATTGATCGAAATGAGGTGATTGTAATATCTGAAATGTTGACATTATTTTCAACTTTGTTCTGTCACAAATTTAATTCGATGTATTGCATTAATCAGTAAGGACTGTAAGCCGGACTACACATGAGCAATAATAAAACTGCACACGTATAGAATTTTTGTAAAGTTTTTCATTGTAAGGATGTCATGATGGATAATCTAACTGTCATTAATTTCTGTGGCAGGTGAAAGAAAAGGCAATGCAGACTCTAGCAAATTTGTGTGTTGCTGATGATACGTTCCCGTGGAAACGCCATATTCTAGAAAAACTTCTCAGTTCACCACAGGTATTAATAATTTTTTCCGATGCCTATTTAGTTTGAGGCCAATGATTATTTCCTAAATGATTTATTTTGAGGCATTCGCATTTCTGTTTGGGGTAACTGGTTTTTTATCGTGCGACAGCCACACCAGATAGATCTAAACTTTGCCTGCGGAGATGCCCTCGTCTCTGCTGCTCTAGGAAGGAAGTCCGCAGCACGGCGTGACATGTGGGTGCAGTCCGAGAAAGATTTCCTCAAGGTTAGAGCCTGACTTCTACTGCTGCTGTCTATTAAGAGGGAGATAGGTAGAGAGAGAAAGAGAGAGACAGAGAGAGGAGAGAGACCGAGAGAGAGATGGTGAGAGTGAGAGTGAGATAGAGATAGGGAGAGAGAATTCAAAGTCGATAAAAGAAAGAAGGGGAGCGAGAAAGAGAGAAAGAGAGAGACAGATAGACAGATAAACACTAAATCAGTATAGTTATTTTGATAAGAGAAAAAAATTGATAATATTATTCCATATTACAGTGTTAAAGTGTGACGTTATAGATCCTGCGTGAATAACATCAACAATGTTTTATACAGGAGAATCTATCTGAGAAGGGTGATGATCACGTGTCCTGGCTGCTAGATCAGCTGCTAGAGAAGCTAGGAGGAAAGAGCAATGCTATCACCCGACAGGTAAAGCATCATAGGAGAGGAAGGGGGAGATGGGGAGAAGGAGAGGCAAGGAGAGAGAAAAGGCGGGGAGTGTTGTTGCCGTGTTGTTGCCGTGTTGAGATGTAGTAAAAAAACTTTTATCTAAGAAATAATTTATTATGACTTGTATTGCATTTTTCGTGTTTTTGTTGTTGATTGTATTCTTATGCTGGCTGTTGTGACTTTTCGGAGTTATAATGTTTCCTAGTGGATTTTAATGCTGGGCTTTGTAATGTTACAGTGTTTTGATATTTTCTAGTTTATTTTAAAGCTGGTTTTTGAAAGGTTGCAGGGTTGTACTTTATCCTATAGTGGAGTTTATTGTTTGCTGGTTGTAACGTTGCAGGCGGCGTGTGTGTGGTTGCTGTAATGTTGCGATATTGTATTAACATGTTTGCTGGTTGTAACGTTGCAGGCGGCGTGTGTGTGGTTGCTGACGCTGGTGAGTAAAGCTGCGGAACACGAGGCAGTGACAGCACGCCTCATCGACATACAGACGTCATTCATCAACATGCTCGCAGACACCGACGGTGGGTTGCCTACCTCCTCCTCCTCCTCCTCCTCCTCCTCTCCTCCTCCTCCTCCTCTCCTCCTTCTCCTCCTATCCTCCTCTCCTTCCTCCTCCTTCTCCTCCTCTCCTCTTCCTCCTCCTCCTCTCCTCCTCCTCCTCCTCCACCGTCGTAATTGCTCTCTACTTGCGGAATCACCAAGGGTCTAGATGTCACTATGGCGAGAGCCGTCCGTCCAACTTAGCATGGTGCCCTGACATTGTCGATTGAAGTGGAGCTGACATGTGCCCTGTATTAATAACATTTCTACTCTTGGGGCCCGTTGTCAGAAAGAAAAATTGGTTTTAACGTTAGCATTAACATTAACATAGCTTTAAGTTTTACGATGGTTCTGATAATGGGCCCCTGGTGTTGTTATTTTGGTACATTACACATTGCTAATTAATAGGAAAGGCAATAATTAGTTAATAATAAAACACCAGCGGTTATTTGTACTCGAGCATAGAATCAAATTGCTTTGATAACAGAACAGCCTAAGACACTGCTAAAAGTCGAATCGGAGAAAAAATCAGAAAGTCAAAAGCGGCGTTTCTCATCCCACCTGTGGTTGAATTCAGAAATCCAGATTGCTTGCACGTGACAGTCATTGAGGGCACGTGAGACTGATTGCGTGTGACAGAATGAAATTAATTACTTTATTTCTCGTTCCTTACCTTATTACTCGTTGCTGCAAAGCTGTGCTCTGTGCGTTGCGCCGCGGCCTCGCGTGGAACGTTCGACGTACGGTGAGATCTCCTGACTCTGGCTTGCGTTTGCAGAGCTGACGCAGGACGTGGCGAGTAAAGGTCTTGGCCTGGTGTACGAGCGAGGCGGGGAGGAGGCAAAGAAACAGCTGGTGGACCTGCTACTGGACACACTGATGACCGGCCGCAGGTGAGAGGGCAAGCGCAGACACGTGACGAGGCGTGTGATGCGTGCGCGTGTGCGAATTATTATTGTTGCTGTTTTGTTATGTTATTTAGTTGTATTATTGTACTTACTTGTATAAATACTTACTTGTTGTTGTTGTTGTTGTTGTTGTTGTTGTTGTTGTTGTTGTTGTTGTTGTTGGTGTTGTTGTCATTGATGTTGATATTATTATTGTTATTACTATTGATATTATTTTTATTTTTATCGCTGTATTACTCTTAGTCTTACACCCAGACACGTTAGGTCCCGTGTGGGTGAAATAGTGGGTGAATATGTATTTAGACAAAGTTATGTCTACTCCATCCAAATAGTTATTATTTGGTGTTAATTAATTCATATTAATTAATCAAGTGTCTGTAGCTGTTCCTGGCTTTTACTGCGAAATTGCTAATTGAATCCCTAGCCATCCTAAGTTGTGCATGCTTTTTGTCCATAAAACATACTTTCATTTTCATAGTGATACTGAATCGTTGTGTGGTTAGATTCGTCTCACTGAGTTCTCTAACATGGCTGCAATACAGGAAGAAAACTGAGGTGACAGATAACACCAAGATTTTTGAACCAGGAACTCTGGGAAAGGCACCTGGCGGGTAAGTATTGGGATCTGTTCTCACGAAGAAACTGTTTAACAGTTAACGTTAGAAATTTCGTGAATTTATCATATAATATCATATCAATTATTTAGTATACCATTTTTTCTAAAAAAATTCTGATGCACACACCTGTCGAATTTGCTTGGACCAAAAGGTCTACCCTTTTGTACATAGGATTTTAGGAAAACATGAAACGTTTTAGGGGTTCTTACTTTACATTTTAAATTTATAGTTTGCATGTAAAATGATTGTAAAATATTATTGCTAATGTTACTCATTATACACTATATGAGGTAATTTACTCATCAAAAATGTGTTCTGGTATTATATATGAATAAGTAGACAAGCAGTGTAAGGAAACACTAGAATCTTGTAATGAATATAATACACTACGCAGGTCTGGTAGTCTGACTACATACAAAGAACTATGCAGCCTAGCATCCGACCTCAACCAACCCGACCTAGTGTACAAATTCATGCATCTCGCCAACCACCACGCCATGTGGAACTCTAAAAAGGTACGACTTACGAAGTTTCTGCCACGGTGAACTTACAGCGTCATTTACGGCCCGTTACCCTTGCCACTAATTAATTGATTAATGAATAATTAATTAATAACACCACTACGAATAATAATGCGAAAAACTTGAAAATCACACTGGTATTTTTTTTTGCCAAGTGTCTATATTTGCGAGTGCACTGTATTTGCGAGGCGACTAGCCGCGTCGTTGCGCCATTGTGAATGCGCGCTTGTCAACCGACGCCTGTTTTGAGCGACGCTGCGCGGTTGCCGCTCGCCGCACAGTGCCCGTCATCTTTCTCCCCGTGGTTTCACAGGGCGCTGCGTTTGGGTTCACTGTCATCGCGACGCAGGCGCGCGATCAGCTCGAACCACATCTCCCCAAGATCATCCCGCGGCTGTATCGCTACCAGTACGATCCCAATGCGAAGATACAGCAGGCGATGACGAGCGTGTGGAACGCACTGGTCGCCGACAGCAAGAAAATGGTAAGTAGTCAGGAAAGAATGAGGAGACGTAACGTACGTTCTGCGATGTGTGCAGAAACCTTTGTTTATTCAGCAGGGAGTGTATTAGTTCTTGGCATAGTCATTGGCACAGGTTTTCTTAAGCAGGTTTGTGCGGCAGGGACTTGCATGTTCATCTGAAGGCAAAAAATAAATGAAATGATATCGGAAGTTTGATTTTGACATCAAATCTAAAAATTGCTTAATTTTGAGACTCTTTATCGCAGGTGGATTTGTACATGAAGGATATCCTGCAGGATCTAATATCTAACCTCACGAGCAGCATGTGGCGAATCAGGGAATCCAGGTATATGATGTACAAAACTACCGACATGTTTAAAAGCTTATTATACTGAAAATTAAATTGGGAATTATATATTATTAATGTAGAATTTATATTCAATTGATACTATCAGTCAATAATTAGTATTGTTTCATGATATGCCAGTCAGTGAATCATGCCGTATTTGAATAGATCTGTTATCTAACCTGTAATTGACATTGATGACCCACATGACCTCTGACTCCCTCTCCGTGACCTCTGCATGTCTCGTAGTTGCCTAGCGCTGAACGATCTGCTACGGGGGCGCCCCCTGGATGACGTCATACCGGAGCTTCCGACGCTGTGGCAGACGCTGCTTCGCGTGAGAGACGACATCAAGGAGAGCGTTCGCAATGCTGCCGACATTGTACTGCGCACCCTTAGCAAGGTCAGCGCCCCCTACTGGCAGCAGGCCGCATCGTGCATGCTCGGAGGGGTGGGAGCCGGGGGGGGGCGCCTACTAACCCTTAAACCAACGGAAAATATACCAGCAGAAAAGCGATGAGATATGATATTGTAGAGATGATGATTAAGGAGAATGTATAAAATACTCACTATTGAAAATCATATAAATATGGACCACCGGTGTAAATATATACCATTTAGTCTACAACTGTCCTTGCACCCAGTTAAAATTACTTCATATACGTTACACATTGATAGCTTGTGTACATATTTACGCTGTTACGAGTCTATATAATTATAATTATATAATGACGTAATTAAAATGATAATAATGGTCATTATAGTGGCGATGGATTGCTGCTTATCTTTACTTAACTAGCGTGTGCTACGTAACGTGTGTGTAGCGCGTGTGTAATCGTGCTTTTGCCCTCGCCCAGTGCTGCGTGAAGATTTGCGATCCAAACTACGGCAAGGTGGGAGGCGACGCGATGCGACAGCTGCTGCCTGTGTTGCTGAGTGATGGAGTCGGAAGCAGCGTCGCAGAGATCAGAAGCTTCAGGTAATCACGAGACGTAACGAGCTCTCGCCCGAGCACCCATCCTCGCAGCATCAGCATCCCAATAACATGGGGGGGGGGCCTGTCATCGCTAGAGACATTTAGTGAGAAGAAGAATTCTTCTTCTTCACGGGTGTAGTTAGTGATACTTTATATCGTTTATATAGTCCAAGTTGGGCAATGTAATGCTAACGAAGCTTACTACTAACTTTAGATATTAGTAGGACATAGTAGTAGTTAGTAGTTAGTAACTACTACTAGTAATGCTTTGACTCGTTTTTTCATATTCATCATATCCAGGTTGCAGCTAAATTGTTTGTCCTGGGTTGGGGGAAAAGGCTGCAAAGCCAGGTGCAATATGCATTCTGTTCAGTCGACCGTGGGCAGATGGCATTGCTTCTGCGTAGGGATGGGGACAACACCTGCATCTGTTACCAGGGTTGTTAGTGCTTCTCTCTGTGTGTCCTGCAGCTGCATGCTGATGGGTGTAGTGACTGATACTTAGGTTTTTATAATATTTGAATCTAGGGTCGTAGCTAAACTCATCCTCCATCCATTCACTCGTCCTACATTCATTTCTTGTGGCAAAGCACGCACGGTCTGCGGTTAGCACACTCAAGTCTGCTGCCCACAGTGTTAGCACACTAACATCTTATAGTCCTACAGATCGTATGGCATATAAGAGCTTTCGCTTTACATCTTATACATACTTATCAGCCCCACTTTGTGTCATGTGTTTGCTGCAGCCTGCAGACGCTGGTGAAGCTGAGTAAGAACGCGGGACCACTACTGAAGCCACACATAGCCGTGCTCGTCGCCGCGCTGCTGGAAGCTCTCAGCGAACTCGAGCCGCAGATGCTCAACTACCTGAGTCTGCACGCCGCGCAGAGCCAGGAGACGCTGGACAAGGTGTGTGAGGGGGAGTGTGTGTGCATGCGTGTGTGCGTGTGTGCGTGCGTGTGTGCGTGTGTGTGTGTGTGCGTGTGTGCGTGTTGTGTGTGTGGTCATGCGTGTGTGTGTGCGTACGTGCGTGCATGTGCACGGCGGCTGCGCAGCGTGTGGTGTTTGTTGTGCGTGCGTGTGTGTGTGTGCGCATTTGTGTGTGTGGTGCATGTGTGTGTGGTGTGTGTTGTGTGTGCGTGTGTGTTGTGTGTGTTGGTGGGGCGTGCGTGCGTGTGTGTGTGTGCGTGTTGTGTGTCGTGCGTGGTGTTGAGCGGGAGGTGTGTGTGCGCGTATGCATTCGCGGTGTGGCAGCAACGCACACATACTTTATGCATGCATGTGCATTATGCTGTGGCAGTGCTATGCTGATGTGCATGCATCGCTGATTGTGCATGTGGCATATACATGGTGGCAGTGCTGATGTGCATAGTACATATACATGTGTCATCGCTGAATGTGCCATTGCTTATAATGTGGCAATGCTGATGTGGGCAATGGTGCTTATTACCATGTGGATGCTGATGTGCATGTGCTTAATACCTGGTGGCATGCTGATGTGGCATGTGCCAATATACATGTGCGATGCTGATGTGGCATGTGGCATATACATGTGGCATGGCTGATGTGCATGTGCTTTATAGCATGTGGCAATGCTGATCGTGCATGTGCATCATACATGTGTCATGCTGATGTGCAATATGCTTATGCATGCATGCATAGCACGGCACGTTATGTCATATTATGTGTGCATGTGTGTGCGTGGCGTGCGTGCGTGCGTGCGTGGCG